GCAACCAAAGTTGTGTCGTCTGCATATCTCAGGTTGTTAATGAGCCTTCCTCCAATCCTGATGCCATGGTCTTCTTCATATAGTCCAGCTTCTCGGATTATTTGCTCAGCATACAAATTGAATAAATATGGTGAAAGGATACAACCCTGACACACTTCCTTCCTGATGTTAAGCCATGCAGTATCCCCTTGTTCTGTTTGAATGACAGCCTCCTGGTCTATGTATAGGTTCCTCATGAGCACAGTCAGGTGTTCTGGAATTCCCATTCTTCTCAAGTTTATCTACAATTTGTTATGATCCACACAATCAAATGCCTTAGCGTAGTCAATAAAACACAAGTAAGCATCTTTCTGGTATTTACTTTGAGCCAAGATTCATCTGGCTATGATATCCCTTGGTCCACGTCGCCTTCTGAATCCAGCTTGCAATTCTCGAAGTTCTCTGTCATTGTACTGCTGCAGTTGTTTTTGAATGATCTTCAGTAGTTGTGTGTGACATCAATGATATTGTTTGATAATTTCCACATTCTGTGGGATCACCTTTCTTTGGAATGGGTACAAATATGCATCTCTTCCAGTCAGTTGGCCAGGTAACTGTCTTCCAGATCTCTTTGGCATAGCCAAGTGAGTGCCTCCAGTGCAGCATCTGTTCGTTGAAACATCTCAATGGATATTCCGTCAGTTCCTGGAATCTTGTTCTTCACCAGTTCCTTCAGTGCTACTCTGACGTCTTCCTTCAGTACCATTGGTTCTTGATCATATGCCACCTCCTGAAATGGATGAATGTCAACCAGTTCTTTTTGGTACAGTGACTGTGTATTCCATCCATCTTCTGATGTTTCCTGCTTTATTCAACATATTGCTCATGGAATCTTTCAATATTGAAACTCAAGGCTTAAATTTTTCCTCAGTTCTTTGAGCTTGAGAAATGCCAACAGTGTTCTTCCCTTTTGGGTTTCTAGCTCCAGGCCTTTGCACATTTCATTATAATAATTGACTTTGTCTTCTTGAGCTGCTTTTTAATCTTCTGTTCAATTCTTTTACCCTGTTGATTCTTCTGTTTGCTTTAGCTACTTTCCGTTCAATGGCAAGTTGCAGAGTCTCTTCTGACATCCATTTTGGTCTTTTCTTCCTTTACTGTCTTCTTCCCCACTCCCTCGCTTTTATGTATTTTGTTGTGACAGTTGAATCTGGTGTCCCCCAGTACTATGGTCCTGAGATAGTAGATCCGTTGGATCTCTCCCCCAGTGTCTGGTTGTCTGTGAGGGATTACTCTTTGTCTATCTTCTGTTGTTTCTGTAAGGATTTCAGGTATTTTTTATTTTGTATCACTGTTATCTGTGCAAGATTAGCCTCCGCTGAATCTATCCTTGGTCTAGAGTATACTCCTGTTCACTGACCTCCATCTGATCCTCTCGGGTGTTTATGTGTTTATCTGTAGCCTGGTGTTTCGTTTTAATGGTAATGCAGTATTGTGGGCACACTGGTTGGTATTAGCATCTGTCGTATATCTGCTACGTGCACATTTTGGTGTCCTCCCTTTTTCTAATGTTATCATGGTGGTCACAGACTTTCCTGTCTTTTTAATGACCTTTGGTTTTCTTCATGGATGATGTTCTTGATGTCATCCCATAATTCCTCTGGTTTTCAGTCATTGGTGTTCAGTGCATCAAAGCCATTCTTTAGATAGTCTCTAAATCCAGGAGGGATATAATCAAAGTCATATTTTGGCTCTTGTGGACTTCTTTTAATTGTCTTCAGCTTCAAGTTGAACTTGGATCAGTTGATGGTCTGTTCTACAGTCAGTTCCTGGCCTTGTTTTGGCTGAAGATGCTGAGCTTCTCCATTGCCTCTTGCCACACAGGTAGTCAATCTGATTCCTGTGTACTCCATTTGGTGAATGCCACATGTATAGCCGCTGTTTGTGTTGTTGAAAAAGGTATTTGCGATAAATAAGTCATTGGTCTTGCAAAATTCTGTCATACTATCTCCAGCATTATTTCTGTCACCAAGGCTTTATTTTCCAACTACTGGTGATTCTTCTTTGTTTCCGACTTTTGCATTCCAGTCATCTTTGGTAATTAACACATCTTGATTGCAAATTGGGTCAATTCAGACTGTAGAAGTTGGTAAAAATCTCCAATTTCCTCATGTTTGGGTTTGGTGAATGGTGCGTAAGTTTGAATAATAATAGTGTTAACTTGTCTTCCTCATAGGCATATTGATATTATCCCATCACTGACAGCTTTGTACTTCAGGATAGATCTTGATACATTGTTTGTGAGGATGAATGCCATGCCATTCTTCTTCAATTTGTCATTCCTGGCATAGTAGATCAATGCTTATCTGATTCAAAATGCCCAAAACAAGTCCATTTCGACTTATTAATGCCTAGGATATTGATCTTTATGGGTTCTATTTCATTTTTTGACAACTTCCAATTTTCCTAGATTCATACTTCATACATTCCATGTTCTGCGTATTAATGGATGTTTCCAGCTGTTTCTTCTCATCTAGAGACATGCCACAACAGCACAGGGAGGTCCCAAAAGCTACTCTGTCCACATCATTACGGTTGGCTCTGAGGAGGCAGTTCTTCTCCAGTCATATTTTGAGTGCCTTCTGACCTGAGGGGCTCCTATTTTGGCACTATATTGGACAGTATTTTGGAGCTATTTATAAAGTTTTCCAGTGACAATATCAGACAGTGTTTCACTGCTATTCATAAGGTTTTCACTAGCCAGTTCTTTGAAAGGTAGATGGTCTCTTCCTTCTTCCTAGTCTTTCTTTCTTTGGAAGCTCTGCTGAAATCTGTCCACCATGGGTAACCCTGCTGGCATTTGATGTACTGGTGTCATAGCCTTCAGCCTCATAGCAACACTTAAGCCACCACAGTACAACAAACTGATAGACAAGTTTGTTTCTCTTAGTTGTTCCAAACTGCTACACTCATTTCCTGGTCTCCTGTACACTGCTCACTTACCTGGCCTGCACCTGAGACACACCACTCAAGCAAACACCTGCCTTCTGCTTCTCTTGGCTGGCTTACTACGGCCTTGCCCCTGGGGCACCTCCACGCATGCACACAAGCACCTGCCTTCCACTGCTCCTGGGCAGGCTTTCTGCGGTCTTGTCCCTGGTCACCTTCATGCATACAAATACCTGCCTTCCTCTGGTCCTGGGCTGTATTTTGTTGTTGTTGTTGTTATGTGCCGTCGAGTCGGCCCCGACTCATAGCGACCCCTCCTTGGGTTTCCGAGGCAGTATCACTACGGAAGTAGAATTGCCCAACCTTCCTTCCGAGGAGTGGCTGGTGGGTTTGAACCGCCAGCCATCTGGTTAGCAGGCAAGTGTCTTAGCCACTATGCTACCAGAGCTCCCGGGCTGTATTTTAGAATTTAGTAATTTAGTCCAGGGGGTGAGCTCAAGTGTTCTTTTTTAATGAACCTTTGTATAAGGAAAAGAACGATTTGTGGTGGGAGTGTTTACATAAAACCTCTGTCTCCCAGAAATACTTTTATTTTTTTCATTTAAATTTTGGAAATTTTTAACCATATAGAAAAGATGAAAACAGTACAGTGAGTGCTTGATTACCTGGATTCGTCAGCTGTGAACAACTTGCCACACCTTTTACATATTTTGTGCACTTGTGCACATACACACACACACAAACTACCCTGTTGCCCCCAACCATTTGGAAGTAAGTTGCAGATACCATAACACTTCACCCTTAAACTCTTAGTCCACATCTCCCAAGGGCAAATATATTGTTCTCTTTCACAAGCACAACATCATAATAACCCCTAAAGAAATAAATTTAGAAGTGTAATCTAGCATAGTTCATCATTTATGCCAATTGTCTTCAAATTATCCCATTATGTCTAAAAAGTGTCCTTTATAGCTGATCATCTGTCCAACCTTGTCCCTCTCCCTGGGATCTAATTAAAGTTCATGTATTACATTTGGCTGTTATGTCCCTTTAAGTCTTCCACTCATCTAGGATAGTCCATCCTTCTCTGCCATGACATTGAAGCATTTGTAGAGTCCAGGCCAGTTGTCTTATAGAATGTTCCATTTTCAGGAATTTGTTGGTTTCTTCATGATTAAATTTAAATCAAGTATTTCTATTTTATTGTAGTAAATATAGCATACTTCCCACTCCATCACATAGTTGTCATGTAATGTCAGGTTGTACAATTGGTGACCTCAAAATCGAATGCTTTGTTAAGATGGTGATTGCTGGATTTCTTCCTTGTGAAAGCAGATTTTTGCTTTGTAATTAGTAAGTAATATGTGATTCTTCTAGGAGCTCTGGTAGCTTAGTGGCTAAAGCACTTGACTGCTAACCAGAAGGCTGGCGGTTCAAACCCACCAGCCACTCCTCGGAAGGAAGGTTGG